GGTGTTGTCTGTGTGTCCGTGTGTCTGTGTGTGCATCTGTCACGCACTTTCATCTCAAGACCTATAAAATCTGCAGGGCTGAAATTTGAGGAACTTAATTTACATGCACGTGCCGGCCCCAGCCCCCAAAACTGGCGCCATCACCAGCGTGGTACCCGTGCACGGGCCCGTCAAAATTTTTTTCGAGTAAGTTTATAACTCGAAGATGCGAGAAGCTAGAACGCTGAAATCTTACGGAGATGTCCCCCGCCCAACTGGGTGTTAATGCACTCAAACCCATCCCTCGAGTAAACGTGGAACCTGCGTACGGGCCCGCCAAATTTTTCTCCGGGTAAGTTCATAACTCGGGGATCTGTGATGTTGGAAAGCTGAAATTTTAAGGGAATATTCCACGCCCAAGCAGATACAAATGAGCTCAAACCCAACCCCCGGATAAGCGTGGTACCCACGTACGGACCCGCCAAAATTTTTCCCGAGTAAGTTCATAACTCGGGAATCTGTGATGCTAGAAGACTGTAACATTAAGAGGGTGCTCCCGTGCACATTAGTCTCAACGAGCTCAAACCCGGCACTCGGCCATCCGTGGTACCTAAGCACGGGTTCACCAAAGTTCTCGAGTAAGTTCATAACTCAAGAACCTGTAAAGCTAAAAGACTATAGTTTTAGGAAGATGTTCCCCGTTCAAGTAAGTCTCAACGAGCTCAAACCCAGACATCGGGTATGCGCAGTACCCGAGTGCCGGTTTGTGAAAAGTTTTTTCCAGTAAGTTGCTAACTCAGGAACCAGGAAAGCTAGAAAGCTGAAATTCTAAGGGTGTGTTTCTTGACAGTTCTGGCGGCCAGTCTTAATTTGTTTAGTTAGAAGCATTTGCCGAAAAAACCGGTGCCGGTAGCGACAAAAACTGCCGGGAACTATGCAAAAAGCGCATCTTCGCACGGGCAGCCCGTGCGTTGGCCAATTATTTTAAAATCCAGTTGACAAACTGCACAGCAAACACCCAATTGCGATACAGCCTTGCAATTACAGACCTTTTTAAATGATTTGAAAAAAAAAAAATCTGGTCTTTCATTCTCAGATGATTCTATAATCAAGCTTGCTGGGAGCGATGCGAACTGAAAGCAATGAGGCGAAACGAACGAACCTCACGCTTTTACCACCAAAATATGGCTTGTCAAAAAGTACGTCCACTTTTTCCTCCGTACCTCCGCATAACAGGCCAATGACAGTACCAAACTCGCCGAACGGTGCCGCACAGGTTCTTTTCACACAGACGACACGATCCAATAGTCGGAATTGAGCACTGAGATCCGGCGCAACAGCTCCTCTACACAGTTCTGCCTAAATCTATTTCGTGTCAAATTGCCAGAAAAAACTAAAAAACAACTACAAATGAATGCAAGTCCTACACTCTAAATTGTAGGCACCCTCACAATTTTCAGAATTTCTCTGCCAAAATGTGCTTACGTAAATGGGTTAGTATCGTCGGGCTAAAATAATAGTAAATAGATGGTTTTGCTGGGCGTCAAATGCTAAATCATGCTGTACAAGCCAAAAAAGCTCCTCATCCTAAACAAGACAGCCCTTCCCCAGGCGCAGGATGATATGGATCAGCAGATTTCATAGAAAGTATGAACAAATGCATGTTTAATTTGCAGTATGCATGATAAATTCTCAAGAAATATTCTCATACATAATAAGCAACACTTGTTCAAGGCGATCGAGAACGGCCCCTTCAGCAGGTGGGCGTTGCTGCTAGACCACTCGCCACAGAAGAAAACTACACAGCTAATATGTCGCTGAATATTCAATTTGAAAAAAAATTTTTGTAAGAAACAAACTGCTTATCAGAGGGCTGATCTACGAAGAGCGATCGAGAATAAAAAAGCACCCAAATATTTCCGGCTCTGGCTCTCACGATCGGACCAGTAAAAAAGAAGTTCAGGGATGGCTTGGTTGAGTCACGAAAAATGTAAAACAGCACAGCAAACTTGCTATATCTATTGCTCCCATGCCGGACTGGAGAGACTTCAATCAGCGCGAGTTGCTCGCAACACTTGTTTCTTTGATTGGCTGCAGGCCTCCTTCTAGTACGTTTAAGGAATTCAGAATCAAGTTTACAAACGTTTCACTGCAAGTTAGTAAGGCGCTCTAGATGCGCGGTCTGACTGCTGTCTACAAGAGAATCGTGTCTTCTGTAAGCAAAATTTATACGTACCCCAATTTCGCACTACCCGGATATCCTGACCCGTCGGATATAGCTAAACTCAAGCAGTAACCTAAAAATAGGTAGTGAATCTACCACCTGCGAAAGATTTTGGCAAAACCATGTCAAGTGGCCGAACACGCTCGTACAACTTTTCATTCGGGCTTACTCCAACAGTTGAACTTTTCGTGAGTTGGCCGAACAGTTAAAATTGTTTACACTTACCGGATACATTTATTGCCTTATTTTCCTATCTTGGAAATTGCACAAATTGGGGATAATGCGTTACAACAATATCGCGCTACAATATTTTTCA